CTGCACAAGTTTTTCTCTACAGCTCTTTTCCACAGAGGCCCTTCCTGTGCATCCTTTGTTCTAGGTACAAGAATATTAAGAGGGTCCCAAAGCCAGAGGTGAACTTCATACCAGCAGGGACCACTGCATCTGCAAAAACAAGAAAAACTTTGCAGCAATCCATTACCCTGTATGAAATCTCTATGGAAACTAGCTCTGCACCGTGAACTCTTAAACTTCTACTATAAAACCCCCTGCCTTCTCTCCCCAGCAGGCTAACAGTCTTAGAGGCATTAGTCTACTGTGGCCTACTTTGCCTGGCAAAGAAATAAAGCTGCCTTTTCTACTATATCCAAAACCCTGTTCTTCAGTCTCAGTTCAGTAACTGGGGTACAGAGGCTGTGTTTCAGCAAAAGCATCTTATTAAGGAGTGTGTGATGTCCCTATGTCTTATTACTGGTGATGTTTACCTTGGTCACTTGGTTAAAGTGCTGTCTGCTGCGTTTCTCTACTGGAAAATTTTCCCTTTGGTAATCAGTAAATATCTTGGAGGAGATACTTTGAGATTCTGACAACATCCTGTTTCTCCCGAACTTTGCTCCCAGTCATTTTAGCATCCACCAGTGGATCTCGTCTACAACAATGATTACTGTAGTGTTTGCTTAATGATGATTTCCATGAGCTGCCCTTCTCCCTCATTTACTTACTTACTCGTTTACTTATTTATTCAGTATTTATTTATATCAGAGTGGAATAATGGATATTTACTTTATTACATAGGTTATAATCCAACACTCATTTATTTTGTTGCTCAGACTCCTCCAACTTTTGGCCACTGGAAACTCACTCAGGTTGACTCTGTGTCCTTTCAACATGCTCCCATCCTTTTAAAAACACTTCCTTCCTTCCTGGCATTACAAGAGTTTCCAAGTTCATCTTGTATTTGTATTTTCTCTGCTTCAGCCCTGGAGGCTGCCATTTCTCCAAGGAGCCCTGCCTCTTTTTATTGGAGAATGGTGCTTAGAAACTAAGACCAGGGTGCTCATTGAATTGCGGTCTCACTGCTTCTAGGCTCTTTCAGTGGACATAGCTTGAAAATGTATGCATTTATAATAATCCACACATACATGCATCTATCTATCTATCTATCTATCTATCTATCTATCTATCTATCTGTCTATAGCATGAATTGATACTGATACTTCCCATTCATTCCAGCACCATGAGGTTCAGTTTAGCCACCCCCCTTTTCTCATTTGTAACTTCTTTCTCCTACAGTGATTAACCTCACTCTCTTTATCTACAATATGTTTACTTACGTGTTCAATCTTAGTATGTTCATAAAGTAATGTTGGAACTGCTAACCTACATCCCTGGGAGAAACACGTGTACTCACTAGATTATAGCATTTGTGTTCTCTTTGTCTTCAGCATTATTGGGTCCAGTTAAAGTACAGCCTTCCAAAGTTACTTTGGTTAGTCCTTCAATTTTTTTCTCCAGTCCAATCCATGGGGTTATATAATTCATTTGGGAAACTGTTGGGCTAATTTCTGACTGTTTTTTGTTCCTAATGGGTTCACTTTTTACTTGGTTTTAAATATTGAACTCTTTGGGGTTTGTAAAGGAGATGTGGGGCATGACTGTGGTTCCAAGAGCCAGAGCCACATGAAAAGACATACCCAGGGAGGTATCACCCCCTCATTCCCAATCCCCCGTTCCCACCCTCACCTTATTCCTTCATTTGTACCTACGCCCTGTAGGTAACCAATCTCTTTAGCTTCTGGTTTATCCTTCTCATTGGTAATTTTTTAAAGCCCCCAAGGGCTGAAACCGTCTTTCCACATTCCTCCTCTACCTTCACTGGTCTCAGCAGTTTCCTAAACACAGTGCCTTTGCACATGCTGTTCCTCAGACTCTGCCACCTTCTGGCCTTTGTGCCCCTTCTCAGCTCAGGCCTCTCTGGCCACTGGCCTGCCCTGCACTACCTCTGAGGTAGGGATAAGTCTTTCATCTTTGGCCGTCTTGTCCCTGCCAATACTGAGGAGGGAGGCGCCCAGTCAGTGCTTGTTCAGGGAATCGCTTTCCTCAACGCCCAGATTCAGCCCCACTCTGTCTACTTTGCTTCGTTCAGCCCACCCAGTGGGCAGTTACTGAGCCCCATGGTAACACCATCAACCCCTTCTTCCTGGGCATATTACTTCTTGCTCAGTGCTGTTACACAGCTTTAAACCTGTCCTCACATCAGTATTTGTGCCCTTCTTGTTTCCCTACCTATAAACCAGAGCCAGTTTCTTTCCTTTCCCAGCTGCCCAGGAGCTCTGTTGCGCTGTGGCCCCTGGGAAAGGCTGTACTGGGGATCCGGTGCCACCTGGTGGACATCACGAGAAAGGCCTCTTCTGCCTCCCCAGTTGTAGCCTCAGATTCCCACCATGAACCAAAGCAACTTCCAAATATGGATTACCGTCGGTGCTTTTCTCCTTTTTTCAGACCACCTTCAGGTGGGAAAAGGCAAGGAAACCATATATGTATTGTTTTCCATGCTCCATCCCCTAGAAGAACTTCCCACCATGAGATCACTGACCACATGAAGTTTGGGAGCCCCCTGTGGGATCAATTAGCCAGGTTTCCCGGGGGGTCGTGGATACAGTCAAGGGTCTGCTGCATGAGTGAGAAGCTCAGAGCTGAACAGCTGTCCCTGAAGACCTGCCTCTTCTTCCCTTTACTCATTTATCTCTTCCCTTTACTTCCCTTTACTCATTTCCCTTTCTCTTCCCTTTACTCATTTATCACGTCATTTGTCCCCTAGAGCCAAAGAAGCATAAAACCAAAGAAGCCCAGTTCAGTTCACTGCAGTCCTTTCATTTCACGAGTAATTATAATCGCTTCCTGAGGACTTTCAGTTTGTGAAGTATTTTCCCAACCACCCTCTCAACATTCTGAGACACACAGAGGATCTGTTATCATTGTGAGTTATACGTAGGAAAACTGAGGCCCAGAGACGTTAACGGACTTGCCCAATTAACAGAGGAGTCAGATTTGGGCTGAATCCAGGTTTTCTGATTGATTCCCAATACACACTTCTCTCTACCACGTGAAAATCAATGGACACATTACAGATTTATATTTATTTACTTTAAAAAGTTTTGTGGGGCAGGTATTTAAGTTTGTTTATTTGTTTATTTATTTATCATTTTTTTAAATCTAGGTACTGGGGATTGACCTCGTGCATGCTAAGCACCCACTCTACTAGTGAACTGTTTCCCTCCCCATTTTAATTTACTTTTTTTACTTAAACTTTCAAAGTTTGGGTATCTAAGCATCAAGATATTCCATAATGATATTTACATTTTATGTAATTATTTGCTCTTTAAAAATACATAGTCTTGGGAAAGTACAAAGGAGCAAATGTCCCAGCTCTAAAAGCAATCAGTTTGGAGCTAAAGAAATCAGATGGTATGTTTGCCCCAGCGGCCACATTTCTATAACCCCAGCACACAGCAAGATGTTTGGCACAATGTAGGCTCTCAATAAATGTTTGTTGAATCAAAGAATATAAAAGAAATATGAAAACTCTATGTCTAATACCCATTTACTTTTGCATGGACATACGTATTTACAGAGTATATTTGCTATAGGAAAAATAGGAGTTAAACCTAGCAGATGAATTTAGATTCTGGAACATCAGAGATGGAAGGATGTGGAACATCGTCTAGACTGGCCGTGGTAAATATGGGTCCGGTCTCTGCCAATTTAGCAAGTTCATGCAGTTTCCTTACCTTTTATTAATTGGGAGTAGGGGTCGGGGACGCAGTGTTGACTTCACGAGATTGTTGTGGGATTTCATGAGATGCTACAGACAGCACAGTGCACAGTGAGTGCGCAGTGAATATTAGCTATTATTAAGATCTCAATATTGATTTGTTGAGGGAGTGAAGCTGACTTGTTACCCACCACCCCATCCTCCTCAGTTCCTTACCCCACCCTCTACCATCCAGCTCCCATTTTCCAATAGCTAAGTTGAGATCTGGGCATGAAAGAGAAACTTCCGGGTGGTAAAGGGGATGAAACATTGCACTAAGAATACTAAGTCACTCTCTTCGAGCAGGGTTTGGGGACATGGGCTCAGATAAAGGTTTAAAAAGTGAGACGGGCTGGGCTGTAGGCCTCCCTGAAGGCAGGGAATGGACTGGTTGGTCGCCTTGTCCAGACCTTGCAGCCTTTTCCATCCTGGTCAGACCACAGGCCAGTGGTCCTTCTCTCACTAGATGGCATCACAGGGAGGGGTTTTGTTATGAAGGCAAAAAGACCCACCTCTTCTAGGGGATGCCTTGTAGAAGGACCCTTTATCCAGGACCGCTGACCTCTGACATGCAGAGCCCTCAAAACGCCCCTCCTCCTCACAGAGGATTCCATCAGAGCAAGCAAGCGCCTTACCCGAAGGCTGCTGGTCAACAGGCAGACCAGGCACCAGTAGCCTGGCATTAAAAGATAGGCTGAGCCCTTTCCTCTGGAATCTAGCCCAAGGAGTAGAGAGAGACTGGGCAAGTTAGCCCCAAGGACAGAAGCTGGCTGGTTATGAAGTAAAGAAGTTGGATGAGGCAGTTCACGTTGGGCCCTGAGCAACTGAATTTAAGAGGCAGTGAGGAAGTGGGGTCATGGTATTTGGAAAACCCAAAAATAAAGCAGATGCACCAAGAAATAATAAGAGGCAGGTCAGGATGGAAGCTGAGTGCACCTGTCCCTGAGCTGCATCCTTCCCAGCCCTGGTCCCAGGGCCCTGCCTTACATGCTTTTTCCTGAAGAAGTTTAAGGGAGTCTGTTTCTTACCACCAAAGAGCCTAAGCAGATCTCAAGACTTAGCCAAGGAATGGGCACAGGGATCTGGAGATACATTATCCAACAGCGTTGTCTTCCAAAACTGTTTCTTTTCAAATACTTTGCAGGAAGTTTGTTAAAGTCATTGTGGAAAGACTTTAGAGGAAGTCATGCAAATGAAAGAGCTTGAAGTATATAGAGAAGATGGAAGTGATTACTCCCTTGGTAATCAACAGTGCAAGCCCTTACACACATAGACACACACACACAAGTACATGCCCTTCCCCAGATCCAGATCAGTATCTCAACAGCTAGAGGCCCACAAAAGATGGGACCCTTTTTTATGTGCTTATTCTCCCTGATGGTAGAAATTTTCCTGGGTTAGGGCTGAACCTAGGGACAGGCTACTCTTAAGGTCCCCTTTGAAGCTATTGGTGGGAATATAAAATGATAGCCTCTGTGGAAAACAGGGTGCCAAAGCCTCAAAAACTTAAAAATGGAATTAACATATTATGCAACAATTCTGCTTCTGGGTGTATACCCAAAAGAATTGAAAGCAGGGTCTTAAAAAGATATTTGTACATTCATATTCATAGCAGCATGATCATAATAGCAAAAATGTGGAAGCAACCTAAGTGCCCATGAACAATGGATGGCAAAATCTGCTATATTCATACAATGGAATATTGTTCAGCCTTAAAAAGGAAGGAAATTCTGACGCATGTTAAAATATGGATGGACTTTGAGGACATTATGCTCAATAAAATAAGCCGGTTGCCAAAAGGAAAATCCTGTATGATTCCACTTACATAAGGTATGCAAGAGTAGTCAAAATTATAGAGACAATGTAGAATGGTGGCTGCCAGAGAGTAAAGGGAGGGAGGAATGGAGTTACTGTCTAATGGATATAGAGCTTCAGTTTTACAAGATGAAGAGTAACGGAGATGGACAGTGGTGATGGTTGCACAACGTTATGAATGTATTTAATACCACTGAACCATATACTTTGAAATAGTCAAGATGGTAAGTATTAACGTGTACTTTACCACAATGGAAACACACACACACACACACACAAACCATCAGATGCCCTATAATCCATCGTTCCCTGGGTGCTTACCGCTGTGTTTATTTCCTGTTTATCCCCTAATCTAGTCCCAATCACCCACCCCTTGCAGGCCTCCCAAACTTCACTGGGACCTTTAGAATGCTTGGTCCATCATCAGCAAATTCCCCGCACTCTCAGGCATCCACAGACCTTTTCTGTAAAGAAACAATGAATAAATATTTTAGGCTGTCTGGGCCAGACTGTCTCTGTCCTCCCTACTCACTTCTGCTCTTCTAGGTACAAAGCAGCCATAGACAGGGTGGAATGGGCCTGTGTTCTAATAAAACTTTATTTACAAAAACAAGTGGCGAGCTGGGCTTGGCGCACAGGCAAACTGACCCCTGACCCACTCATAGAGCTGTTAGGAAAGAGGTGACAGATGTGACGCTGCTCTGTGGGCTGTACAGTGTGGATTACTTGGGAGGAACTGGGAGGCAGAGGCTACGGTAATAAAAATCAAGTTCAGAACCCCGGGCCAGCAGAGAGCGCTTCCAGACAGGAAAAGACATGGACCTGGCCGTAAAGACCTGGCATAGGCTCTGATGGGGCTCTGCCATAGGCCGCCTCCTACCCCACGCGGAGTCGTTGTTTCCTCCAGGGCTAAACGGGATGATTAAGCTGTTGAGTGAAAAGAAGAGCTAGCCAGCATTCCTCAGACCAGGCCAGGGGCTGCAGGCCGAAGACGGTCCCCAGCGTTCACTCGGGGAGGAGCCTCAGGCGCGGGCCTGAGCAGCCAGTGGGCTCCTCCCTGCGCCATCGGCCCCGCCCCCAAGCCTCCCGCCCCGAGCGTCCCGCCCCCGAAGTGAGATCTGCTCCTGGCCCCGCCCTGATCCCCGCCCCCGGACCACCCCGAGCCCCGCCCCCAGAGCCGGGCCAGCGTGCTTTGCGCCCGGCCCCGCCCCGCCCCGCGCACGTGCTTGGCGTCCGGGGGCTGCCGCAGAGGAGGAGGTGAGCGGGCAGAGCGCGGCGGGTAGACGTTGCGGACCCGGAGCGGGCTCCGTCCACTGCCTGTTCCAGCAGCGGGGCGTAGCCTAGGGGCCCTGGCTTGGAAGTAAGGGTCCTGCAGCCGGTCCTTGCTCATCCGCCTGCGGGGGGTGCGGCACCGCCTCCGGGGCCGGCCCTGGAGCGCGCGGCCTTGGCGTTGGGGGTCCTGGGGCTTTGGCACCTTCGCTAGGACCCTTCCTTTCTTGGCCTCGCTTCCCTCTGGCAGAAAGGCCCTAGTGATGTGACTCTTTAGGAGACTTTAATTAACACAGGCCGAGCAGTACGCACCCTTCCTGTTTGCAGCAATTTATTTCCTAATTAAACAGTTTTCACAGAGAGGAAGACAGTAAGCTTCAACCCAGGTTAAGTAATTGTGAATTTTTACTGAAATATTTTCGAATGAAATAATAGGATGCTGCAATTGCTTCAGAATAAACCAGTTGGAGGCAGGTACGGTTGGGAATAGAGACAAAATGAGATTGGCCATGAGTTGATAATGATTGAAGTTGGTTAATGATATACTGTTTTGTGTGCTTTTCTATATGTTTGTAATTTAGCATTAAAAATATTCTATAATGAAAAATTTGTTATGGACGCCTGACAGCCTGTGTTCAAATACTGGGCCTGTATGATGTGCTAGGACTGCAGTGACAGAAACTGAGTGGCAGAAATGTATTTTCTTGCATTTCTGGAGGCTAGAAGTCTAAAATCAAGATGTTAGCAGGGCTGGTTCCCTCTGAGGCCTCCCCCATGGGCTTGTAAATGGTCACCTTCTGGCTTGAGTCCTCATAGTCTTTTCTCTGTGCCTGTGTCCTAATTTCCTGTTCCCGTAAGGACACCAGTCATATTGGGTTAGGGCTGTCAACTGAAGAACTGCACAACCTTGAAGTTGAGAGTTGTGTCTTAATCAGTGGACATTTCTGAGAACTTAAGCCCGGGATGTAGCCTCTCAGATGGCTCTGCAATACTGATCCAAAGAGACAGGGGAGGAGCCAGAATAGATAGGAGTTTTTGGAACAAAAAACATAATTGGAACATCAAAAGGTTATTGTTAATGAAAGAAAACCAGATATCTGAAGTTAAGGAGTTTAGCACTTTTCTATTTATGGGAAGGTGCAAAAGTCTGGGCTCATTGAAATCGTTCCCTTGATATGCACCTTAACTATCTAGGGTTCGTTCCCATCCTGAGTTCTTCCAGGGTGCACTGTTAGGGGTGGGGCTGTTGGCTTGTCTCTGTCCTGAATTCCCTCCGGCTCACTGTCAGGGCCGTGTGGCTGACGACTTGATGGCCGCAGCATCCTTTGTTTACTGATAAGGCAGGCAATATTTTTCATTCACAGGGCCTATCCTAATGACCTCATCTTAACTTATTTACCTCTTCAAATATCCTGTCTGTAAACACAGTCACAGTGTGAGGTACTGGGGGATTTCAACATACGAATTTGGAGGGACACAACTCGAAAGCCCATCACCCTGCCACCTTCCTAATTGAGGATTTTGACCAGTTTGTCTGTGCCTCAGTTCTCACTGTTTTAAAATAGGGACAATAGTAGTAGGTCATGGAGTTGTAAAGATTCAGTTGTTAAATAATATATGCAAAGCTCTCAGAACTGTGTCTAGCATATAGTAAATACTGAATAATCTGAACCTGTGTCTCATCGTAGTCACTTGTGGGATGAATTGTGGAGGGAGGGAGTTGAGTGCTTAGTGCTGTGCTTAGCCGTGGGAATAACCACAGCCATCGCTCCACAGGGTGTCTGCTCCTGTGCTGGACACTGATTGTCTTTTGTGTGTCCACTTGTTTAGCACAGACACCCTGGTGTGGGCCACTGTCACGTGCGCATTTGGCAGAAGGTCAAGCACAGAGCTAAAGCTGGGCCTGGATCTCAGGATCCAGAGTCCATGCACTGACCGCTGCGCTGCACTGCTGCATCAAAAGAGGATGTGGCCCCGGGCCCTTTTCAGTGTGCAGGCAGACCCAGGGAACTGGCAGCTTACTTGTCTTTCTCTTGGCCCAGGTTTCCAGCAGTGGCAGCATTCATGGCAGGGCCCCTGTGGCGAGCCACTGCATTTGTGCAGAGACACAGAACGGGCCTGTTGGTGGGCTCGTGTGCAGGCCTGTTTGGAGCTCAGATCTCGTACCACCTCTTCCCAGATCCTGTGGTCCAGTGGCTGTACCAGTACTGGCCTCGGGGCCAGCCGGCGTCGCTCTCCCCAGAGCTGCAGAGGCTCTTCCAAGAGGTACTGCAGGACATCGGCGTCCCCTCAGGCCATCGCTTTGTGGCCTTCACCACCTTCACCTTCCAACCTGTGAGTGCCGGCTTCCCGAGGCTCCCTGCTGGGGCCGTGGTGGGCATCCCCGCCAGTTTCCTTCCAATCACCGACACCGAAGAGCCTGTGGTCGTCCATGGGCAACAAGTGGACTGGCAGAGCCCGGCAGGTGCCCGGCTGAGAGATTCCCTGACCCTGTCCCATGCCGCCCAGAAGTTCGCCCTGGCCAGGGAGGTGGTGTACCTGGAGAGCAGCACAGCAGCCCTGCAGGCCCTCCCGGCCCCCGCTTGCCTGGTGGGCACCTGGGCCCTGGGCGTGGGGGCCAAGCACGCGCTGGGGCTCTATGGGGGCCCCATGAACTTACGGGCTGCCTTCAACTTGGTGGCAGCGGTGGTGGGCTTTGTGGCCTATGCCTTCTCCACCGACTCGCTCACTCATGCCCTGGAAGCCTGGCTGGACCACCGCACCGCGTCCCTGTCTGCAGCCTACGCCCGGGGCGGAGTGGAGTTCTACGAGAAGGTCCTGTCGGGCAACCTGGCCCTGCGCCGGCTCCTGGGCAAGCCTGGAGAGAAGCTGTATACGCCCAGCGGGAATGTCGTTCCCAGACACTGGTTCCGCATCAAACATTTACCCTACACCACCCGCCGGGACACTGTGCTGCAGGTGTGGCGGGCGACGCTCAACCCGGGCGGCTCCTGAGGCCCCAGCTCAAGGACAGCTCCCGCGCGTGCAGGCACCCCCTGCCACTGACTCTGGGGGACACTCTGGGGGACTCTGCGCCCACAGCCCAGTGGCGGAAGACTCCCAGGCTCTGGAGTTAAACAGCCTTGATTTTACCCCAACTCACCACTTAGGATCTCAGTGACCTTGGACACCGCCCTTTGTGACTCTGAGCCTTGGTTTCCCCTCCTGTAAAGTTGGGCTATTGTAAACTACCTGGGAGGGTTACGCACTTGTACAAGATCATGAACTTAAGGGCCTGGGAGGGGTGCCAGAAATGCACGGGAAGTCCCTCCTTGTTGGTCTTTGAATAGTGAGCTGTGGGGCTCAGACCACATCTCACCACCGGAGGTGTTTGCGGGATGTGAACACTTTCTTATAGCGAGGAATCACCCCAGAGTAGAAGGAAATCCCAGTTTCCTACTGTGGTAGAGAGTCAAAGTTTTGAGAAGCCAAGAGAAGCTGGTGTGGACCCGAGAGCCGGGTAATGGGAGCTCGAGGTGGGGCTTTGAGGGCTGTGTATCCAGGGCAGGTGACACACTCGGAGAGGGCCAGGCGACCAGCAGGGCTTGGCGGGGCCCCCAGAGAGCCCTTGGGCCTGAAGGGGAGGGAAGGAGTTGCTGGAACCTGGCGAGACCTGTGGCGTGGTGACCTCCTGGTAAGAGCTCTAGCCGAAGGAGGGGAAGGAACAAGCCATCAAAACAGGCCCTGCAGGAGGGAGGCTGCTGATACTGGCCCCAAGCTGGCAGCCTCTGGGGCACAGAGCTTGATGAGGGCCTGGAGGATGGTGGTGGGGGCAGTGAGGGGAGGTGGAAATGGGCCAGCTTGGCTCACAGGGGCCGGTGAGGAGAGCAGAAGGGTGGAGGTGAGCAGTGGGCCTGGCCTGGTGTTGGGACCCAGGGGAGGCTGCAACCTTGTCAGGCCTGTTTCCTTCGAGGCCTCTGGTGGTGGATAGAGCAGACCCCACAGGGCAGGTGGGGAGAGTTGTGATGAGCGCGCCAGCTCACATGGCCATTCTTGTGTTTTCGCTGGTGATTATGGTTTCTCTGCAAGAGATGAGTTCAGGCCTGGTGTCAGCGCAATTCAGGGCAAAGGGATTAGGCTGCTCCGAGGAAGGGTGCTGAGCCGTCTGGGGAGGCCTGCTCAGTGCTCAGTGGTGGCCCACAGTCCCTGCAGAAGACCATGAATGGAGAGAGCAGCTGGGGTGGCCCACCCTCCTGCCTGGTCCCTGACAGCAGACTGGCACTCAGCGCTCCGGCCCTACTCTGTGCCAGCCTGGGGGTCTCCGCCCTGGGCCCAGGCAGGTGAGGTCAGAGCACCATGTGTGTCCGGCTCTTGGGGCAGCACTGGG